GCAACAGAAAGTGTCCTACAGCCCCAAAATGAAACAGGCAGCTGGATTTTGTTGCATTACGTTAGGTTACAAGACACTAATAACTACTGTGGCAGAACCATTTCATCCAAGCCTGGAGACCTGTGAAGTTTTAGTCACTCCCAGCCCACCGTGGTGTCCTTCCTCACCTCGGCACTTCTCCCTCGTGCAGTGTCCGTGTGGATTCTGGCTTGCTCAGTCAGCCCCTGCTTTGGGCTCTGTTGTGCAGAACATGCTAATGCTTTTTAAAAAATAGTATTTGGAGCTGGAGGAATGAAACAAATACAGGTGCGACTGAGGGCCATTTTCCCCAAACTCCTGACTCTCATGAGCAAGACTTCCCCAACTGTAGCTATTGGAGGCGAATCATCCAAATACCAGTTTTCTAGGCTGCAGCTCCTCCACTTCAAGACAATACCTCCTCTTGCTCTTCATGTCTCAGTAAGTCTCCTCTACGGAACATTTCCAAGCCTTTAAAACTAGTCTGGTCTCTTCCAGAATAAAATTTCTCTAGCCACAGGAGAAAGCACTAATCATGAAATGGTGCTGTGCTGCTCCAGGCAGCAAGGATCAAGCCCTACGCACTTGGTGGGAGAACCTTTACCAACCAAACTGCCCAAGCCTGCTCTCCGCAGACCCCCGCCAGGCTCAGTGAAAGGAAGGTTTCATTGCACTGGATTCTCTACTCGGGGTTGTTTCCTGACGCTGTGGGTGACACGGATCATGACTTCCGTAACGTTAATCTGTACCAAGACACCTGATCAGGTGGGGAACTACGGCCCATTTGCCAACAGCACCTCCCTCCCACTAGAGCAGGGTGCCCATTCTTACAGAGCAACTTTGCATCTTCTAGCCCTGAAACGTTTAGCAAACCCTTCTAAAATCTGATCACCGAGTTCAGGGGAAGAGTAAAGACTGCCCGTTTATACTTGTTTTTCTCCTCATTGCAGTTAACGCGGTGGGCCAGACCGTGCAGCAAGCAGTGGATCAGGCTAAGGATGCTGGTCAGAAAGGTAGAGAAATGTTTATTTCTACAACCTCACCTTGGTGAAATCCCAGGTCCCCAACCCTGCCTTGCCCCTTGTCTCACAGTGGGTGGGAAAGATACTGCAGTGATACTACAGTTACCTTTGTTTTTCTGTTTTAAAAGCTCTTGATGAAGTCTACAAAGTTGCTGAAACAGGTGAAAAGGCTGTAAAAAATGTAGCGAATCAAGCAACTTCGTGGGGCAAAAGCTTTGGGCAATGAAGATAAAATTGCAGTACTGATGACATTTCTGTAAACAAGTTTCTACATGTACTCTTAAATAAAGAAAATACACTCTACCTGTTCTGCATGTATTCCTTGGGAATCCTTCGGTCACACGTACTGAAAAACCCCACAACCGCTGGTCTAGAGAGACTGGGTTACTTCCCAGAGCAGGCAGCTAAAGCTGTGCTGCAACACAAGCTGACTTTTTTTTGACGAGCCAAGCAGTGGCTTGGCGTGGGCACAACCTAAAGCCAAAGGCCTGAGGTTCGGTCTCCCCCGTTTTGTCACTGGGTGTAAGTTGTGACTGTGTGTGCGCAAGCTGGGCACCCAAACCGCCACTGCAAGACACGGTAAGTACCTCTGCGCTCCAGTGATGGTACTTGTGCTCTGGTCTTGCCTGTAAAATTGCCTTTAGCTGCTGCAGAAGAAATGTCTTGCTACAGCAGTGAGTAAGGAATTTGATATTAGACTCACTCATTATTAACGGGGTAACTCAGAGATCGTTTACTCTGCACCTTGAAAGCGCAGCAAGAATTACCGCTGCTCCAACACTTCCTCCTGATGGTGGCAGCTGCCATCAGTGAGAACAGACACAGGTCTGAGTTCTTTGCCGGGATGATGAATGATTGTTCTAGTAGCTCTTCTGTGTAATAGATATTTTTGCACCTAGTAGCTTGCAGGCTGCATGTAACACCCAACATCGTAGTGGTGATCCTTAGGAAATGGCAGCTTCAGAGTACTTGCTGAGCTGCTATTCAGTGCCAGTTACCCACACAATCAGCACTTAATGCTGCAGGAGAGATTACAACTACCTGCTATGGCAAGGATGTGTTTTCTCTAGGTGGTAGGTGTAGTTCGGAGCAGGTTCAAATCTGTGCTTCAGGTCCTGGCTGGCTCCCTGCCAAACATCCTACCAAGTCCCGTGGTGAATACCTAGTGGGGTGTAAGTGAATACAAGCAGTGACAATGTTGTTGGCTGGAAGATAAAACCTGTGTGTGAGTATGTGTAAGGAGAAGAGCAAGTGTGTTAGACCAAAGTTCCCCAGGAAGTTTTGTCTAACACCTATTTGAAGTTACAGTAAAAAATCCAGTACTGCTATGTATTTGTAACCTACCCCAGAGAGCGACTGGTGTCCTCAACTGTGGTTAGGAAAATGCTAGAGCTGCTCTGCACCCAAGCCTCTAAAACCACATTAACTCGTAGCAACTGTGTAAAACTTCACTTTCTTGTCTCTGCTGTTGCCAGGTGTTGAGGTATGTGCTACAAAATGCAGGAAGGAACATGCAACTTAACTGTCTCATCCTGCTGGGGCTGAGCTCAGCAACACTCGGCACCCACGCAGCCAGTACAAGAGCATTTCAGAACAGGCTACCTATCGCGAGAACTCTGGATTCATGATATTTGGCTCTTGCATTTAGCAGTGAGCAAAGGGCACACCAGCTGATGCGCTCCAAGCATCAACCCCCTTGAGGATCTCAGCTCTTGGATAGAAAGTACCCCAAGTTCTCCTCATACCAGCCTTGGGATATGCTCAGGTTCACGTCTCGCAGGTCCCCAACGCTGACTCTGTTTACAAGAGGTCAGTAACCAGCGCAGTCGAGTTGGGTGAAGAGAAATCCAGTCAACCTTAAGGGCTCAGCTCTGGGTTTGGTACAATCACACCTGATGGTGGGTCTGCCTTCTTTCACGATGTCCTGGGAAAAGAAGTGTTAATGTAGGGGTGTACAAGAACATAAGATGTTAATGAATTGGGAAATTTGGGCATTGTGCAGCTTTTGGCTTTTTTTTTTTTTTTCCCTTCAAACTGAGTAAGAGGTAGAAGACATCCCAGTTAGCTATCTATGCCAGCTTTCCATATGCTCCAACACTCTGAGAGTCCCATTTTTCAAGTCTGCATAGCCAAATTAGAGCTGCTTTACTAGCTGGAGAGGAAATAAGGAAGGAAGCGAGGGAGAACAACACTAAATTAGCCAAGTTTCTTCACTGCTACTGCACTTTGCTTTCAACCCCTTTACTGCCAGATAATACAACTCGGCTCTTAAGATACTTTCTCTTTTCAATAATACAACTATACTTGGGAGTTTTTAGCATCTGAGTTTTGGCGGAAGTAGGTTACAATTTGTCACAGTCAAGTTGTTACAAACTTAGTTTTAGTTTACTATGTAATAAATGTTTACATAAAAACTGCACTGAAAAGTATGATCCAAGATTTGGATCCTGTGTTCCACACCTGGATCACAGTAACTCTTTCGTGCTCAAAGGGGTGTCATTTATTGAAAAAATAAATGCCAGCATTTATATATTGTATTTAAGTGATTGGAAGTACTTTCATAACCCTGGACATCAGCGTATCTGATGGAGTAAGGCACTAGTTGAATGCATCACACAGGTTTATTGCTCCATGCTAACTGCTAGAATAGTTTTGGATACAAATATGAGAGGACACAGTAAAGACCTGAAACAATGTACTGAATATATGCAACTTGGAAAGTCTCGTTGAGAGGCAAGTTGGAGAGGCTGAGAACTGTATTAATGAGCCCTGTAGGATAACTCAGAGATAGTATCTTATCAGTAGGTGTGTCATGAATAAACCAGTGTGCTGTGAAGATCACAGACTGATTGTAACTATGGAAAGCTATTGAATGAAATAGAAACAGTAATACGCCAGCATAATAGGTTTGGAAAGGTCAACTTTTTTAATAACTGCTCTTCTCTCCAGCTTATGTCATGCAGTTACAAAGTAGTTAGAAAAAAAGCATGAGTTTCTGGGAGGGACTAGTTGTCTTTTAAAAAAAACATTCATATTCATTACATAAATAACATCTGGCACTTCAAGGGGGACTCCACTGGACACAAAGCCTTACACTTTAAAAACTGTGCTTGATCCAACATTGTGTTGAGGTCTGTTTTGTTGTACTCAACTTTCAAGACCTCCTGATGAAAAAAAGCAAAAAAAGCCGTGTGTGTTAAGACGGTGGATTAAGTCTATAGCAGCATCCTAGCTCCTCTGTAGTTTGGCCAATGATTTCTGGGTTTAGTTTCACTTCACTTGTTCACTGAGGCAGTATCTAATTTTCAGAAAGCCTCTGAAAGGAAAAGACTGAAAAAGAATTCCAAAACAACTAAGTGTGATTGATTACCAAATTCAGACTATCCCTTTTTTTTAAAAACAAAACAAAACAAAAACACCAACCAAAACCTATAGTCAGAGTAGTCATGTAGATACTGATTAAAAACATAACTAGAGTTGCTTGATAGTTTTGGCTTATAAAAATATTAGTCTGTCACCTCTATGTACTTCATGGTGATAGTCAAGCTAGCTTAAACAAGCTGTAAAAGGCAGTCCTATAACAGCAGCACAGTAAAGAAAAAACATTGCCTAAAAAGAATCAGGCCTGAAGCTTTACTACAAATAAAAATTAGACTCCTACCAAAGTTAATCCCTGCTGGAGGCCCATTCTTTCCTTGACAATGCCATGGCATTGATCATCCAAGGCCTTACTGAAAGTGCCAAAGCTAAAAATTACATCATTAAACAAAAGTGCATGAAGTAATAATGAGCAAGTGCTCATCTAGTACAATATCTGATCTGAAGTCTGAGAAGTGGCTCAGGTGGCAAGACCACTCTTTCATACATAAAATGTACCATTTTGTTTTGTAGGCAAAACACCCAGAATGGCCCCCACAAGTGCAGATGAACTGTTATCTTCAGATACATACCTGTATACAATTTCCTAATCCATGGATTTTTTTATTGTAAAAAAAAGACTAGGTTGGACTGAAACTAATTGAGAAAAGAATCCACTATAATGTCAGAAGAAAAGAAAATCTTGTGGTTACATGTAAACTTGTGATAAGCTTTCTCAAGAAGAGGGTACATTAATGGCGAGAGGGGTGGGATACAGTAAGGAGCGGTAACCGCCTGTCTATGTAAAGGTCAGGCCAGCCTCATTGTACACTTTGAAGACTTTCTCAATTGCATTGACGTAGGCAGCTGTTCTTAGGTCCAGACCCAGGTTGTACTTCATGGCAGTATGCATGATTTGCTGAAACAGAAAAGGTTGTAAGTCATTTCTGCACGTATCTCCATAGGAACTAGAGTAGATTTTGCCTGGTGGATCCAAGTTAGGAGTATGGGAGCCACTAGATCGGTATCAGAGCTCTGAGTCTTTGTGGATCAATTCTAAAATTTCTTGATTGCCCTTACAACTGAGATCTGAAAGGGAAGAAAGTCTTTCCTGAATTACTACAGTGCCCCTTAGCAGGCTGTGGATCCACGTGTACCTCAGATACAGGGAGAGACAAGGATGTGTCAAGTAGTCTTTGCCCCACTAATTAAACATACTACATGAAGGGATAAATATAAAACTGCTGATGGTAAAGCACTCTTACTATGTGTCCCAGATTAGTCAGGTACAAGAGCACAACTGAAAAGTTTCTCATTACAACAGCTTCTACTAGAAGATACTTCTTGATTGCATGTACCAGTCTCTGATGTTTACTATACCCAGTTGAAGTTGGCCCTCCTGCCACAGAGCAGAAATACCTCATACTCACAGTGACTTTCATTATTGTGAACTGTTTATCTACTCCTTTAATCGCAAAGAAGTTCTGTACAACCTCTTCAAAAACTGTCACAAAGTCATGTAAGTCCTGCTTCCTGTAAGCGTATTTGTTAACGCAATACTTACCCGGGCAGAACGCTCCATTGTGTAAGCCAACCCAGAGTGGACTATGTCCTTCTCGGACGCACCCTGCAACAAAGGGAATAAAACTAGGTTTTAATCCAAAAGACAAAAAGGTATAGTCCTGGATTAGGGACAACGATGTGTTGGATTCCCATAATTACTGGAGCTTGCTCGCTCATTTTCTTCTAATGACTGGTGTAAGAATCTAAATCACCTTTACTGTGTTACTTGAAGAGCAATTACGGTCAATTCAGTTCTAAAACCTCAAACGTAAGCACTGAAGTCTTTTATATGCCTAGCTTCCAGATGCATGATGCTAGCATTTTTTATTGATGTTGTAACTACTGTTTTCAGCCTTCAGACCACACAGTAAATGTTAAAACATAAAAGCTCCCCAGAGTTAATAACCTAGAGAAGCTACTTGCAATTGTTTTGAAGATAGTCAGGTTTTAGGAAGGGCATGGATCCCCAGTTCATACACTCAGCACCGTATTAGCCCTGAGCAACTCCAGAATAACTTTGGTCCCATTAAAACTGAAATACATAGAACAATAAATAACTGAAGAGAGTCTGAATTAGGATGACTGAGTATCAGCATCAAGTTCCATCATTCTGACTGCTGTATTTTACTAATAATTTGAGATATGGCTTCACAAAATACATGCATTCTCTCAAATACCAGTTTGGGCTAGATGTAGAAATTACTAGGCCAGCTTCTATGGCTTGTGCTCAGGAGATCCCAGGAACTGCTTTAAGCCACAGAACCTATCTAACATTCTATTCATTTAGCCTAACATTTATGAAGATGACAGCATCATACTGGATCAGGCTGAAGTCTGTTTCTGTCATCTGACAGTGGCCCAAGTTTACCTGCACTTCCCCTGATTTCCTCCTGAGGAAGCATGGTTTAATGTTTTTCACGACTCACTGGAATTTTTTCCCCCAGTCATTTGTCCCATCTCCTCCTGAATGTATGTTTAAAAACTGAACCAACCAACCCTTTTAGCTGCCATACATCCCTTGGCAAAGCACTGCACATCCGAACTGCCTGCTGTGCTAGGAACCATACCCATTCTTCATTCTGTGCCTCTCTGCTGGTCTTGTTTGAACCCGACTGCTCTTTCACCCTTCCCTCCAGTGAAGGATCTAACCTTACCCATCCATTTCCACCCCACTCGTTCTGGAGATGACTGTCTCCACCCCAGGACTAGCTCAGGCCAGCAGGACCTAGGTTATTTCGCTGTTGCAGGTATGAGAAGCTTCTGGATCTTTGGTTATTCTTGTGACCTGAACTCCTCCCACATCTACGATGTTTCAAGATACAGAGACCTAACCTGCATGCCGTATTCAGAAGGTAAGCACGCTTTGGATTTATAGAATACTGTGGCATCATTAGTCAGCCTTATTCTTGTCCCTTCAGAACTATTTCTAACACTGGATTTGCTTTTTGATTGCTATGGATTTCTAAGCTTGTATTTTGTCGTTACCTCCAGCTTGTTCATTTGAATGCAAATGGATGAGCTCACAACCCATCATTTTATATGAAAATTTCCCCACCATATTGTGTAACAATGAATTTTACCTGACATTTCTTTGCCCATTAATTCAGTCTTAGAGGAACATTCTACAGTATTCACCCAGCTCTTGTTTGTATTACCCTGGATTTACAGAAACAGTATCAAACTGCCTGTGGTGTGGGATCTTGTTGAAAGTTGTTTGGAAATCCAGACAAACTGTATCAAGATCTCCAAAACAAATTCTGGTCATGTTTGAGGCAGTATTTCCCACTACAAAAGCGCCACGGATTTTGATAGCTAGGGTTTACGTATATTATGGAATCTATGTATTTATCAGCTTAGCCAGCAGAAATATCAAGTATTTCACAGAAAACAAAAGCATTAGGAAAAAACCCCAGGTTCTTAAGTTCTCCTGACTGGCCTGTAAAAAGAATCATTCTCTCCACCCTTGCTCGTAGAAAGACCTCACATGGTTTGTCTAAACAATGGAGATAGTTTGTTGTTCTGAAAAACACCAGTATATGAATACCACCATGCAATCTAACACTACCTGAAAATACAAAATGCATATGTGTATTAAAACTGTAGCTTTTTGACAATATTGGAGATATTTTGCATGGGCTTAAGCAGAAGAAAGAAAAGGCAGCTTACTTCCAGTATTCCTAAGCAGTTCAGCTCATCTGCTCGCTTTATTTGTTTGGCCATCGGGCCAGCTATGTACTAATGCCTTTCTGGGGGCAAAACCCTCCACGATAGCTACGATGGTAAAATTTAGATTGCAGTTATAATATCAGAATACAGTAAGAGTAAAAAAAAACCCAGCAACGACTTACCGATATCCTATCTTGAAATTCTGCTGTAGGCACAACTGGAATACTTCCACCATGTTTCCCAAATTTTCTTTCCAAGCTTTCCTGGACAGACACTAGAAAGAAGCAGGGGCAAGGTAACTGACAAGGAAAGGAATGTGCTCCCTAAGAAAGGAGCTGACCCCAGGACTTTCCGCATTCAGTGAGGAGGTTGTACTAAAAAACATTCAGATCTATGTTTTGTCAAGTCCTATGTCCAAGGTCCTCGGATTCTGTTTTCTACAGAATATTGTGTAAAATGGAGCAATAACCTGCAGTTCTTCTCCATTAAGCTTCCCCTCTCCATGTACTTGGTATTCCTGCCCAGAAACTGGGAAGCACAGAATGACCCCAAATGGAGCTGTAGGCCATAAGCAGATTTTCACAATGCCTGTACCAATTATTGCCCTTTATAGAAATCCCCTATTGTTGTATGTGCAGAACAATGTTACCCACTCAAATGCTGCATACTTCTCAAATACCAAGTGTACAGCTAAAAGACGTTTATTAAAAGTAACAAATATTTCACATAAGTGGTTTGTGTTCAGTCAGTTCACAAAACTGAGTAAAAGTATCTCTTCAGGAATTAAAAGAGAACTGAAAAAGTATGCATTTACTTAACTCATTAACACTGCAAATCAGTTAACCTATCAAATCTTTCCTACTCTTCAGTGTGCAGCAATAATAGACTTGTGGGAAATTGAGGTGAATTTAAAATAGTTCTGTATTCGTTTCTCTCACATTCGGTGTTTGCTAGTCCAATCTATTAATTAAACAGTGAGTGAAAGTGGAACTGAGCACTTACTGAGCAAGTGGTAGTTTGAATCCCTTTCATATTTAAAAGTCAAGCGGCCATAGCTGACGTGGTTCAAGTTTTTCAGCCACTCGAAATAGGATACTGTTACGCCACCAGCGTTCAGGTAAAGGTCCTGCACAGAAACAGTAAATGTCTTGAATTGTGACCACGTGACAAAGACAGCTCTATTGTATTAAGGAAAGCAGAAGTATTATGTACAAAGTATGACTTTAAACTGCAGTACAGAAGATAATCTGCAGTCCGGACATACTTCAACCGATTTAAAAGAGGACTTTAGAACACATGAAATTCAGGTGGGCTTGACTGACTACTTCTATTTAAATTTTTAATCAAGAAAATGAGGGCATTTTTAGGCCATCTCAGTGACTAAAGGCTGAAGATCAGCCACTCTTTTCTAGCAATGTCACTTGATCAGGACAACCTTTCTCTGAGAACAGGTTATCATTATACCTGGGTAGATATTATTCTTTCAAATTATCACTATAGGCAACATGTACTCTACACAACCTACGATACACGGTTCTGTCACAGCATCACCCAGAGACATGTTGGCCAGTGTATTTATTTTGCCTTCTTCCTTAGCTTAGTGGACTATTTAGTTGAGCAAATGTCAATTAATACTCCAAAACACAAAACTATATATTTAATAACTAATTGTGGACTGTTCTCTCTTCCAAATATGTAGCCTTCATGTAATAGTTATCTTCAGTCATTTCCAGGTGCAGATCTTTAAATAATCGCCTCTAATCTTAAGCAACATTGACACATCTCCTAGACATCAGTTGTTAAAAATCACTCTAAGAGAATGAATACCTATTAATAAAAACCTTCAATAAATAACGTCTTCCTACAATTTTCAGTAACTTCATTAATGAAAATCAAAGGTCAGAATAGAACCTTACAGGGATAACCATGATATTCCGCTCCAAGAAGATTTTGTCAGCTTCAGGAGTCGTAGGCCCATTGGCACCTTCAGCAATAATCTGAAAGAAATCACAGCAGAGTAACTCAGGCGTACGTTTGTTTCCATCTGTGCTAGTTATTGAGTATTAATATTTAAACAAGCCTTCTCTATTTTTCATTTGAACTCTGCAACTTACTTTTGCTTTAACCTTGTGAGCGTTGGCCTTAGTCAACTGCTTCTCGCTGGCAGCAGGGATGAGAATGTCACAGTCAGTTTCCAGAATGCTGCCCTCAAGTGTCTGTGCTTTAGGGAAGCCCATAATTGTCCCATGTTGCTGTTTGAAGGAAACAAACCAGGGAGTTTTTAGTGTGTGTGTGTGTATTCATATGACCTCCTTCCCTCCCTCTAACTTTCAAAAAAGAAAGAAGGGAGAAGCAACAGTACTAGAAAGACAGCACATAACACAATTCCTATCGCTACTTAGAGTAGGCATATAAAACAAGCTACAGAGCTTGGATAACAGTCAAAGTCCCTATGACTTGGGCATAACTGTTCTCTGGCTAAAGACACTGATAACCATCTGGGCTCTGGAATATTTGAAAAAAACCAAATGTCCCTCTCAACTGTTAAAATACATAGAAAATGCAATAGTTCCCAAACAACTGAAATGACCCACCAGTCTGCCACGCACAGGATCAGTTGCATCATGTAAGATTTAGAAGTACCATTTTAAAATTCAGCACTACAATGTCAGCCTTTGTTTAGTTACAGAATCTTTTCATTCTTTTAAGAAAGGGGGTGATGAAGACATTCAAATACTCCCAATGTAAAAGAAGACACATCAAATAAGTCCCTTTAAAACTCTTAAGATCTTATTTTAGTGCCTGTGAACTCTTCCCTCAAGACTGCTTCACTTGGAAAAGGAAATAAAAAGACCTTATCCAGTTTTCATTATAAACTACATATTCAAGTCACACTGCCAGACAGGTTTCTCATTTGCAGACTCATCCAATAGGTAAGAAGCAGCAAAAGTGCACTTTGAAGTCTTAACTGTCTATATGCTTATGATATTCGGTCAGGAATCCTTCAGGAACCTCCTTGCCTTAGTTCCTTGAGACATCTTTCCTAGTTCAGTCATAAGAAAGGCAAAATAATCACGAACTCCAGTTCTGAAACCAAAGTAATCAGACTGCACAGATGCAAACCCTTGCCATTTTTCTGAGAGTCAAGCCAAGGGGTAGAAACAGTACGACCCACATTCATATTGGGGTTAAGGAGAAAGGCAGAAATCAACATTCTGAACCCATTTTGTTAAGTACCAACTGTGGTATGATTTAAATATTCCAAATTAATATCAGTCTACAGTTGTCCTATGTTCTTGCAAAGCTCACAAAACCAAAACTATTTCCGCTCAGCTAAATTTCATACCAATTTGTAATCTTCTAGTTCCTTTGGGTCAATCCCATCAGGATTCCAGATAGAACCATTAAACTCTCCAACAGCAACACACTTGGCTCCAAAACGATGCAAGTATCTCATAGAATGCAAGCCCACATTACCAAATCCCTGAAGGTAGAAAGAGAAAGGGAAAAGTAGGTAACTCTTCAACCACAGTGATGATTACTGCTAAGGCTTATATGTCTCTGAATAGTTTTAAATAGTTCTTCATCTATTGGCATGTCTTGGCATTAGGTGATGCGTACAGGAAAGACGGAAGAAATCCATATCTGCATTCAGAATACCATTGTAGAAATTGTGCATTGTAGCCAGCAATGTGCAGCTGTGCTAAGTTTTTTATACTGGAACCAGACAAGGGAAGCGTTAATGCTACTATGAAAGTGTCAAAACTATGATATTTATCAACATATGAACATTACGTAGATATATTTTATAGCTGGCGCTGTCTTAGAGAGATTAATGTATTACTGTATGACTATTGTTAAGGTTTGACTAACATTTGCAGGCCAGGAAATTTTCTCAGTTAATTTGGGTAAGGAAGGCTTGTAAGTGTAAAACCATCCAAGAATGGAAAGCATTAAACAAGAATATCATTAATCCTTCACATTAAAACATACAAACTAGTCGAAAGCGATGTAATTTCTAATACACTTCGGAAGTGATCCTGTAAAAAACAGATATCCTACATTTAGATTTAGATAATCTTGCATTTCATTAGCATGTTTTACATCCTTACAGGTGTAGAAAACCTAATTCCAGGCCATTATTCAGCGTTCTGGAAGGAACACACATGGCAGACCAAAAGGTCACATGATCCATGTCGAAAGATCGTAGTAAGATTCTATACCAGAAAAAAGCTGAATATATAATTCCTGTACAACATTACTCCAATTATAGTTAGGATTTTTGTTTATATATTACAAGCAAACTTCAATACCACAGTTCGTTATGCACTAGGTTCCTCTGCAGTGCTATATCTTTATTTTCCTAGAAGAATCTTCAGCTATTCTTCTAGCCATATTTTCAGTCTAAGTTATGCTCAAGTACCTGTTGGTCTGCCCTCTGCCAGGCATGAAAATGCCAAAGTGCAGGGAGAGGAGAGCGCTGTTAGGTCTGTGCTGGCCAAAGATGTTTGTTTCAGCCCACTGGTTAGCTAGAGGACAACTTGGAGGTCACAATTATTCTGCTCTTTGTAACCACCAGTGCATTGGTGCTAAGAACAGCAAAACAATCCCTCAAATCCTCAATTTAACATGATGTTCGAAGCTGAACAAAGTAAGTTATTTGAAATTTTAAAAGTGGTAACACATATTACTGAACACCAAATCCCTTCAAAATTCAACTATGTAAATCCTGAAGTCTTACGACTTCCAAAACATACATTCAATCCTACAAATTTAGGATAGGGTATTGGTTTCCTCTTTACAACTGCTTATTCCATAGTGGAACAAGAACATAACCCCCAAATCCTTCTCTCCTTAATTTTTTTTTATTACAAAACAGTGCAACAAATTTACTGTAGGCAGAAGTAGTGTCACAGCTCACTTAAAAGTGTGCAGTGCCTTGAAGAATTCCTGCAATAGTATTTCACTTCGTTCATTACAGCCTCTGTTTATAAAGAATGGAGATTTGGCTCTGTCTGTGGAGTGCAATCGGAGGTTCGGTTTTTAAAAAACAACCCAAAATAAAGGGCACCTATAGTTGTTTGAGAAGTGTTTCTAAAGTTTCAGAGTAAAGGTTAACTTGGAAGTCATAAAACCCTAAACAGGATTTATTGCTACCGTCCTTTTTAAAAGCAGCTCTGCTGGAAGTTTGTTTACTACTTTTTCCCTGCAGTTGAAGGAAAAGGGTTACCTGAACAGCAAATGTTTTATCCCCAAAGCCAGGAGTCATTCCTAATATACTCATATATGATGCTTCATTGATGAAATTTTCAATTCCATGGAAGAGACCGCGACCAGTTGCAGATATACGCCCATGGATCCCCCCTTGGCTGATGGGTTTACCAGTTACACATGCATGTGCGTTAATATCCTGTAAAACAGAAGAGGACTTGTGAGCTATGGAATTAATCAAAGAATAGATGAAATAAAAGGTTTTGTACACTCTAGAGATAAGGGAAAATAGGAATTGTGAGAGTCCCAACATGACATACTTCATACACATGTGGTTTGTCAAAATTATTTCCTCCCTGAGCATGTGTGACCAGCTTCTCCGAAGTACGCTAGTAGCTGCTGGAAGAGTTGCATAACACAACATTGGGTACGGTCTGTAATACTTTTTGCTGCATTTAAGCTTATATGTCAACTTCAGTCTGTGGTTAATTAAATATGGTGACATCTCTGCTGTACTGTTAGGAAAGCGCAGACCTTTGACAAATCAAAAGGGATATGTTTCTCAAAATTAGGTCCTATTACAGCCAAAATTTTCATCATTATCCCTGACATTTTAATCTTTTAAAGGGTTCAGACATATCCTTGGACTGGTCACAGCTGAAGCTGCTTAATCATCTTTTAAGTGTTTATAGTGTTCCTTTACACCCAAATCAGTTATTTAGAAACAATAATACAGGGCTACTACCTTCCCGTAGTCAGAACACAGTGCTGTTTGATCTCAGAGGAAAATCTACAGTACAGAGGTCATGTGGGAAAAGTTAGGTAACTATTTACTACTTCTATTCAGAAAAGCAATCTATACAATCAAGCCTCCATTGTGAATTTCGTGGTAATAAAATTACATTTTCCATATGCTAGACAACTAGCCAAGATAAAATAAAACTATTTAAAAACAAAGTTAATTTTTTCAAACTGAAATTAATAACTTGAAAAAACTTCTTCCAAAGTAGATGCAGTTTGCACCTCCCTCTTCTGTCAGGACTGCTTCCCATGCTCCCCACACCCTGGGAGCACAGTCACTTGGCGTCCGACACAAGTGAAAGAGTAGGGATGAAAGGGAATCCACTGAAATGAGTCTGCCAACAGCCGGATGGGTTTCTATTCCACCAGCCACACATTCACTGGGAGTCTCCCTCCTCTCCATCACTTGTGCCAAATGCATTTACATGCCTGTGGCGTGAGCACAAGATGCTCGGTGAGAGGAAGGAAAGGAGCAGATCTAAGTGGAGACAGAATGGCAGGAGATGACTAGAGCCATATTGGAAATGAAAGCTATTTCTGTTTTGAAAATGATAGTGAATTAACCATATAAAGCCACTACACATCTTTAAAACAATGAAGGTGATGCTGGGCTTGCCACAAAACTCCTGGTTTCCCAAAATGTAGCTGTGTGTCTCTAATTAAGCTGTATGCTCCCTCTGCTGGCATATCAACTATAAACAAGATTGTGGTGCTGTTTTGCTAGGAACAACTTGGCCAGACATTTGATATATTTTTAGGTTTCCATTCCGTTTCAGATTGAAGCATTTTAACCTTCATGCATTCATAAAGGTGGAAGTATGTAAGTACTTGAAGAAATACAGCCTCCCACCATACTTAAGAACGTGTTTAAGGCCCTTCATTTGTCCCAAAAGTCCGTTGGATGTGTCAGGAAGTACAGAAGTGTGGAAAGGATTAATTTAATCAAAAACTTAAGCCATATATAATTCAGTGATCCAGCAGCTTAAGATGGATTTTCTGCAACAGTTAACATGGTAGTTATTGAAGACTGGCATGGTTTGGCAAGAAAACAGAGCATGAGGTGAGGGCAGGTCTGGGTCTTCCTGATGTCACATATACAAACCACAGCTGATGTCAAAGTCCTAAGAACTCTGGCTTTAGGTCAATAAAAAAAAAATGTTTAACGTGTCTTGGGACAAAGACTACAGCTTTTAAGGATAAGCTTATAAAACGGCTTATGCTAGCACTGAAGACTTCTATACTGGTAATAATAGTCTATGAACTTAGCTGGCAAAGTTGAGATGCCAAACTTCTTGTTTCTTAACCCCTTTCCACGCTGCACTAATATTCTCCTTGGCTGTCCTGCTTCCTGGCTCTGTATGTTTGGTTTTGAGCAGACTTCCCTTATCTGTTTACATCTGGTATTTGGCTTTTCCTTCACACTTTAAGCTCCATGAACACATCTGTGTGCAATCACACTGACTCATCAGGTCTGTGGATTTCTCACTGAAGAGTTATCTTTCCACTCAATTGAATGTAGTCCCTTGCATAGCTTCCATCTGTTTTCTGAATTCTGTTTACCTTGTTTTGTTCAATGGTCATTTTCTGCTCTTAGTTCCCTTCCCTCCTTCCCCTGTGGTCACTTTTATATATCTGGTAGTTCCTTAATCAACTTTATTTTTGTTCTTTGTGGCTCAACCAGATAGTTATGTGAAACATCTTCCTCTACAAACTGGTTCTGATAGGTTATTGCACTTTGTGCAGCCTTGCCAGATTTCCCTCCTTCCTTCTGCACCTGGTTGTTCTCCAGGATAGCTCCTAAGTTCCACTACGGCTACTGTTCTCCCTTCCATGTACAAACAAGCAACCCAGCAAAATTAAGTAAACTGATTTAATTTTTTTTCCTTATTTAAATTGTTTGAGCCACTTTCTGGAAAAAAAAAATAAAGCATGTAATGTTTTATACTGGTATCTCTAACAGACAGCTGTGTAAAAGTGATTTAACTCAGCTAATCAGCATGCCACAACCTATTCCTCAAGCATTCCTTTCCCCCCTGTTCCATAAGATACCTTAGACTGTATTTCAGGTCTAGAATATACTGTGCCATCCTCTCCTCCTATTGTTAAAGGCACCAGACAGCACAAGACAAGTACTCTGCCAAGAGACTGTCTCAGGAAAGCCAGGCACGTTTTGAACAGACGTGCCACAGAGAAGTAAGCGTTGGGTAGCTCTAATGCCTTATTACTGGGGCCCTGTACCCTGCTGTTTGTGAGGAACTGTTGGAAGGAGTGCAGAAAGTGAGAAGGAAGAATCCTTTCAATTCAAAAGGAACCGGGGTAGGTAACTATGCAGTAGTTTAGTGTATCAACGCAGCAGTACAAAGCTATGGCAAAACTCCTTAGCAAAGTAGGGCTTTCTGGAGTAGTAGAAACAACTGAAAGACAAGCTAGAAAGTTTGGGTGGCATGGACAGTAGAGCCTTAGGAAATAAGTTGTCTATAATCCATTTTTCTTTCATCCAACCTGTCAAAAGTATACAAGTATGTTTGGTCAACAGTCATGTTTTTGGTACAGTGAAAATAGGTACAAGTAACCCCAGCACCATAAGGACAAAGGCCAAATTAAGGGCTATAATTAAAAATCAATTTTTTATTGCCTTCTGGGCAATTAATTGTATCAGTCTCCTTTTGCTTTATATTTTGGAGAATTTACTGAAGACTACACTGACTACTTGTTACTTTTAGGGGACCACAGAGAATTTTAATACTTTTACACTAATAATGTGAACTTAGTTTACATGGTCTCTTGAATTCACAAAACCAGAGCATTTATTTAATAGCTCCTGTAAGTTCAGTAGTTTGAAATGGAAAGATTTCAGTACTTGAAGACGAAACCAACTATTCTCAACTAACTGTTTAACAACTTTAAATTAGTAATTATAGTATTAATGAAAAACAGAGGGAAATGGTAGAAATAGAAACAAACTTCAGGCTAAGTATGAGACCTTTAAAAACTGTATTTTTGATGAACCGTTGAAATCAGTATTCTATCAAACTTAATTTAAGCCTACTGTAAAATCATTAACCTTAAAGCTATTTTTCCTTAACTGTACTTTAAAAACCTCACACCAATTAAGTTGTTACAGTTTGTAAGAATATATCCAGATACACATAATTAAATTACATGATTAAGTGCCATGGTAGTAGATGTCTAGATAAAAGGATTTCTGCAAAGACTCTACTTCAGAGCCTCTGCTCAAAACTTACATAGTGTCCTATAGTACTGGCATAGGTGTCGGCAATCCAGGACATCTCCCTCTCCCCTGTGCTCATGTCAGGAGCAGGCACATCAACACCAGGTCCTGTTGGCAACGGTGAAAACAGCTCTTAAGGATTAAACATGAACAGTTACCTTCAAGCGTTATTCCCTTGGGAACTGTGCAGGGTTTGGCAGAGGACTGTCTTCCTGTTTAATCCTCAGTTTATTATGCAAGCAACAGATTCTTCTGGATTCAATTCGGTTTTAGATGCTGTACCGTGCATTTGTACAACACTGTCGAAACCTCCGACCTCTCACAGAAGCCATTCAGTGCAATGAAGGTCAGTTTGTCAAAATGTCAGCGTAAGACAATGCATCCAAAGCATATTTATATTTAATTCTTTCTTGTTTTTTTACAATCTTCACTGTAACAACAGGAAGGGCACTATCTAGGTATGATTTCTGTATGCTGATGTTAACTAAGGTTTTTTTTTTTTGCATTAGAATTTCCTTTTTTGTTTCTGGTCGAGTTTAAAAATCTAAAATAGGCTGTTGCTCGTCACTGCACTCTAGCACATGCCTTTGATTTTACCCCTCACTTCAAGACAGTGACATTACATCTTTTTTAATGAAACAAACCTCTGAAAGAACTTTCACACATCTGTTGTAATAAGACCAAATTGTCTGTTTTTTCTAGATAACTAAAAATAGCATTTGTCCAACCTATTTAAGATCACAGGGACTTGCTCAGCAAGATTCTAAGCACAACTCTGCAAGATTCTAAGCACAACTCTGCCTCTGCCATTTTTTTTTTCTAAGTATTTCTAAAAGGTTTGTGACAGCTGTGTAGCACCAACCATAGGGGCAAAAAGAAAGACAAATTTAGTCAAACCGTTTTAACCCTTACTGAAATAACAGTCACTACAGCTGCCATAGTATATAGTATTACCCTAGTCACATGTAACATCAGTAAGTGTGTTTATACAGAAGCTTACTTTGGATGAGAAACACTCTGGATGAAGAGCAAGGAAATACAGATAAATGGGCATACATTCCAAGGGGCAGTTAGCCATCAGGAATGCATGACAGACCTTTAACTAGTTACATTCCTTACTATTAATTTGAATAAGAACCTCCTCCAGTTAAAGATCCTCCATTTAATTACAAGTCGAGCTAGTAACATTCAGCTTTATCCAGGAGACTTCCAGATAGCATCTCCAGGCTGAAAGCTATCAGAACAGCTTGGGGTTCAGAGTACAGATGAAACACCTACTACCATTACAGAAGCTGAGATTCTGTTACAACAGGAACCTATGCTTCTCTTGCATGTGGTTGCTATGGCTGAAGCCATCAACATTCTCTGGAGTGGTTCTTCTATTTCCTTCCTCTGTTTCCTCAGATGTCTTCCAAAAGCCTCAACTGAGACTACATGAAACAGTAACAGTGAAGATTTTGATATTAGAGATTAAAATTTCAACAAACTTGGTCACAATTTTATAATCTAAGAGAAATGTGATTCATCTTGGATCCTGTGAGCTCAGCTTTTGTGGCTTTTCATAGCAGAACAGCTATGACAGTTCCCTTTAAAATGCACTAAGATGCAGTGACTCAATTCTTTGTGGCTCTTGGCTGAAAGTTCTATACCCAAATCATTTACAGCTCTCAAAAATATGGCTATTTAAGGACTACCTAGTGGACACTGCCAATACCCAATAAATCAGATTCCTAAATTTTAATAGTAAAAGTGCACAACATACCAATAAAGCCCTTTTTCGCCAGCTCCATGGTAAACCTTCTTGTGATCTTTTCCAATTCATTGTCCTATAGAGAAAAATGCAATAAATATCACAATAAACCATTAGTGTTTATGAATACTTGCTGTAACTTATGTCCAAACAGACACCCTTTTCTTTTACAAGGTGTAAAAGATATATTCATATATTTATATAATTTATATGCCACTCCCTCACAGACCCTCGGTATTCAGGCAGCCCAGGGAAACATTCGCCTTTTTTTCTGTACATTCTGATCCACAAGTTGGGAGTGTGGCACACGAAGAACCACCTGTGCTTGTGGCAGAGATTCCCAGCAAACAAATCTGATATCCTATGTGAGTGATTTATAACGAGCAAGAGCAATAGCCGGCCTGCTGGTTGTGTAATCAACACAGCAGAATGACTTCACACAAATCCTTAAAGGAGTTTTGAGCGTAGAATATCTGTTGTGTATTCTAGTATTCCTTTCTGCACAGGTTATTTGAATCAGGGCGAGGCGGCGAGCCTGCAGTAAACTGTTTATAAGCCAAGTTAGTTATTATTCACACTGGAACACTGCATAGAAAGGTTTAATGGAGCATAAAACTATTTGTGAAAATAAACAAAAACATTAACTTTTCTCTAAGAGTAATTTAATTTAAGCCTTTATTAACAGTATCAACCTAAAAAATTTCAGATTCCAAAGTATTTGTAGCCTTCCAACTTTTAAGAAAAAAAGTAATAAATAATTGGAAGTATTCCACCTCTGAAACACACATCCTGTAAAAATCCTTTTCCTGCCTATTGCACGCACAGGCTAAATTCATCCTTTACAGAGGCAGAAGTTTTAAGTGGTCAGTAATGTCCTTAGAAGAGCTTTTTTTAACTGGCTGGCTTCAGTACTGCAGGTAACCGAATTTTTATCTATATTAAGCTTACTGTGTAGTTCTTGGGATTGATCTTGACACCAGCCTTTGCCCCACCAAATGGCACATCTACAAGAATGCAAAGGAAAATCATTTTACTTTTTCAACAATAAAGGCAGAATGAATGAGTAATATGTGTGAGGAATTACATCTTTGATTTTAGCAGCGAATTTGGTTTTGCCACAATTAGGACTTCACAGGCATAAGCTAAACTCGCCTAGGTACTCCTATGAAAACAGAAAATCTTTCAAGGACAGCTTGAAAATGGTCTTTGAAATTCAAAACTGGATGATTTAAATTTTCTATGTGTTAAGCTCTTGTACTTGGCACTTGTAGAAGCTATAAGTTTTACAGTTTCTATTTTACTGGTTTAGCTCAAAAATTTTACTTTGGAAGTCCGAAGTGAAGTGTCTCTATATACATTAAGAAGTATTTTGTTTTCTTCCACATAAAGTGCAGATTCTCTCCAAACTCCCCTACAGTTTAGCAGATGTGTATGAATTATACTTCTCTATGACCCATAAAGGAGTTTTTATCCTTCTCTCCCCACAGCTCCCCTGCCTGAATCCTTTACAGCCTCCATCTGTTCCCCCTAAAATTAGCCTTCTCCTAATCCAGGTTTCTTATACTTTGAGTTCAAGAGCAGTACTTTTATGGGAGGGGGTAACTATCAGAATTTAGACGTGTCAAATGAAAATGTAACTTTATTCAAGTATCTGCAGTAACGGCAGAAGGAATATGTATTATTATTTTGGTCACTATATATTTTTGTCCCATCTTGCTACAGATTTTATTCATAGATTAGTGTTTAAAACTTAATCCCTTTGGATGCCTTTCCATAAATTTTACCAGTACTGACTGAAATCCAAGATTGTATCCTTGCTTGAAACATTATCACTTACCAACAACAGCACATTTGTATGTCATTAGAGATGCTAAGGCTTTCACTTCATCCACACTAACGTCCAGACTATAACGAATACCTGCAAAAGATGAATTGGAAAAAAAGGAAGAATTTACTGAACAACTTCACAGATATTTATAAATTGGGAAAGTTAATTCTAGACCAGCCATCTATAACATGTATGTAATGTAAGATTTAAAGAGCAATCCCCCATTCTCCTGCTTAAATATCTATATCTTACTTAGCAGAAATTCAAGACTTCAGCAATTCTCCATTAAGTTGTGTCACAGCAGCACTCAACCCGGAAACAAAAGTGAATATTCCTTGGGAGGAAGATGAGCCAAGCTGACAGGTAACTCTAAGCAGAGTTTTCAAGAGGCTAATAAAGCTCATCAGCATCCCACAAGATCTTTAGCTTTGGACTTCATTCATTGTATAAACAAGAGATGAAGTCTGTTCCTGAACTTATCAGGAGAGGTTATAACCAGGATCTCTTTGCTAGAGTAATGCAAGCTCCTGTTAAGAGCCTCGCAATACGTTGGCTGTGCTCCCACAAAACCATACATAGTTTCAGAGCTCTGGCTGCTAGGCACAGCCACATAACAGAGAGCAGTAAGCCACTCCACTAATTCAAATCTGTCCAAAACATTTTGATGGAATAACTCCACCCACCCCAGCAAGCTTGTGTGACCAGACTACCCATCCCACACCCACGTGGAAGCCAGCCCACACCTCATTCCCTGCTCTGAGTCATTCAGCAGAAGTGCAAGTGTGCACTGACACATGGTCCAGATGAAAATTCAAAATTTTGTGGTCTGATAGTGGCTCTGTTGTGGTCTGATGCAAAATGGGTGATCTCAACCTTGAAGGCAGATCAAAACCAAGTAGAAAATGTTTACACAAAGGGGTGCCTGACTTCTATCAGTCTTCTAAAAAAAATGGGTTGTAGCTGTCCAATACACTGAACTTTGAGTCAAAATTTATGTAGTCTGGAGGTAGTTGCAGAGTAGAAAATATTTATAAACTGAACCGACTGGGTACATATCATTTTTAGGCTTCTGTAGTTCTGTATAAATGCATTGCCTAAAGCCATGGGGCCACAGCAAAAACAATAACAAACCCTCCAGCTCTATGTTAGCTTCTACCCAAGCTTCTCCTACCTCACTAAGCATATAACAGAGCCATGAATAATTTATTAGCCCCACCTCTAACCCCCCCAAATCTTTGGCTGTAGGCTGTGCGAAGTTGCACAGTGGTTCAGAGCAGGCACAGAGTGTCCTTTAGATGCTACGACAAGGCCCCACAAATTTCCCATTATGTAAAGAGAAGACCATATTCAGGTCCTCAGGAGTGGAAAAGGCCAGTATTATCCAAACTAAAGCACTGTGCCGCTATGAAAGCCATTCCTGAATGCTCTGGAAACAATCCCAGTTTCAAAGGAACTGAGTGCTGCTCAAATAAAACTGAGGGCCAAGTGCTGCTTTCTTACGTGAGTTCAATCAGTAAAAGAAAGCACCATGCCTCCATAGAATGGAATTTAAATGTAGTGTGTGTGTGTATGGGGGAAGGGTGGTCTCCAAAAGCAAACTAACTAGTTTCTGACTTAGGTAGCTGTAAGGTGTTTATGTCTGGGCTTTCAAGAACCTTCTCACAGGAAGTAATACTCAAAATTTAGGTGGAATCTTAATCAGAGTCCAACAGACCTGCCAAAGTTACAACATATGTGGGTTTTTTAACAGAACTCACTCTGATCCTTCAGAGGAGCTGTTATCCTTCTGTCAAGCCCTGAGCAAGTGAACAAACACCACTGATGGCACTGACTGTCCTGCCTGGGGACACTGTTCTGTCTTGGTTGAGCAGGTACTCTAGGGACAGGGCTCATTAGAGCATTGCTCAAATCAACCGAGTCTGAAGCCAGAGTCTATGCTGGGCAGAAGTGAACTCTGCCCCTCCACCCCCAGCTGAACTAGGTCACTGTGTATTTATTTAACCCACATACTTATTCCAACTTCAGGTTGCATACACAAAGCAGTTTTGCTGTTACTGTACGCCTGCAGGCACATACAATGTTGTTTATCGATATACGGAAAGCAGCAGGGGACTAAATAGTTAGGAATAGTTCTTTTGTACAGCTTTAACAGGGAAGCAAAATACAAAAGGAGAGAGCAGCCTCTTCTGCACAGCATACTGAAAATGGGATCTGCAAAGGTGAATAAGCAGCAGTTTAACTAGACTCAAACACATGCAAAACACATCTCCAGTTTCCTTGTAATACAGTCAAGGGTTACTATAAACTTCACTGTTACAAGTATTAAACTTACATACCACAGGAACTAGAGGAAAAGCCTCGTGACTAAAAAAGCACTGAAAGGCTTTCAGCTGAGATGCCTATTTGTCAGCCATGTATATATACCACAATAGGGAAAACAGACTTGAGAGTGAAAACTGTCCTTTTCTGGACAACTTTGTATTTTTGAGCAAGACTTAGCTGCTTCTCTAGCCTTTTAAACAGCTTTAATTGAAATGGCTTGTCTGCTGTCTTTATCTTCAGGAGTGGGAGACCAGTCAATTCTGAGAGTTGTGCTGACTTTACCAGCCACTTTGCTCCAGTTTATCTGCTAAGAACTTTCATTACAGTGTCAGGCATAGTTCAAGGTGTGGATTCCAGGTTCTCTGACTGGTATTTTTTCCCCTTCTGTGGCATGAGTGGATAACATTTCATTCCTTTTCACAATTTGGCCAGTTACCATTTTCCAGGAATTGTAATTACGCTACAGGAGGTCCACCTCTTGACAGGGAAGTTATTTGTGCTAAGCTGTTAGGCCTGATGAGAAGCAGGCATCTGAGAACGCTGTACATTCCATCTGCAAGGGGATGCACAAAGATAAAAGACTTAATTTCTATTCTATTTGGACATCACTGAGATTTAGTTTGACAGCTTCCTAATTTGGCAGGAGGAGAGTATTGCCATGCATTTGTATGGCTCTTTTGGCAGTGTTACTATGCATTCAATAGCCTGAAGCTAAAAAGGGACCATATACACAGATCAAATACTGCTGGGTGGGGATTTTATAGATTCTTAAGCCATAAGCAAACGAAAGTGACTGCTATGCAGCAAGATCATTATTTTTTTAAACTCTGGCAAGTCCCACGCTCTAAGTCTCTGGAAAGCTGTGACTTTTACAGCAAACTAACTACAAAAAAGAGTCTGAAGAAAGCCTCAAGTTACAGCATGACTCACGGCCATGGAAAATACTTTTCACTGGAAAACATACAAATTCTTGTTCTAGTTGAGAATTCTCTTTCCTTGCCACACCCCAAGAAGTTAAACAGTATGCTGAGAGTGACTTTGTTTTTCTAAGCACAAGAACTTCTAGATGAGGAAATGTTTTCATTTTAATTTTGTTTCATTACTGGTCAGTATAAAGAGAAGGCTTTATTTTATCATCACATTGCAGTGTCTTTGCTGTTAACACTTCTTTATGATCTCTATTTTGGAGACGATATACTTTACCCAGCTACCAATATTGGGTACTGAGCCAAATAATTGCTTTGGCCAAAGTAAAATTTGCTCATGATTTAAGCTTAGCTTCTTACAGAGATATTTTGAAAGACTGTCACTTTTCCAAACTGAGGTAGCAAAGCACTTGAACGCAGTATGTTTTTAAAGAAATGTCAAAGTACTCATAATCAGTAAGATTGTATTTTGTATTCTATGATAACAAGAGTCAGTTACCATTTTAATCAGCAGGCTTGGACTAAGAATTGTACTAAGGGGTGCGTAACAAAGGTCTTGATATCAAAGAAAACTGGCTACACATCCTACTAGGTTTTTACAGATTTCAGTATGTTCTGTGATGTTTGGTGTGTTTATTATGCTTCCTTAAAAAACGTAGTGTACAGAATCACTAACTTTTTAAGGATGATTACTGCCTTTCTAATACACCTAAAAATCTACATTTAGGAAAGCTAGTGTAATTATTTCCAGATCTATGGCAGTGATTTTAAATGGTAGTGTTTACTTATGCCCCCACCACTAACGAGCACGAAATATTCAAAGACAAGTCTCAAAACTAAAACAGTTGCCGTAGTAACAGTTCAGAGCAAAACACTTGGTAAACTACTCCTCCTGCACTAAATATCTTTCAAATCTTAGCAAGTCACTCAAGTTCCCCAGAACCTGGAACAGACATGCATCTCAGACTGAATTATTAATATCTAACCAGGGCTTTTGTCCTGCTTTGACTTCAGTGTTTTCTTCTAGATGGGATCATCTCTTGAACTTTGAAACTAATTTGGGTCCTTTACAGACGACAGTTCTTGTAAAGACTGTGCATTTGCTCTGCTCACCTCTATTAGCAAAATGCTTGCTCATCAGAACAAGTGTTGCAGGGCAGCAGCTATCTCACACTACCCATACAGCACTCAGCAAGACAGATTTCATGATTTCCTTTGAAAGTATTTAGGACTGACTACAGCCATATTAATCTCCCAGTTAGCAACACTGGATTCTGCAGTGGTTCTGTGGGTTAACAGCTTGCCTGACCCCATCCACAGGCTGCTATTACATCCAGAGTCTAAAAGAGCTTTCCAGTAAGATGCTCACCGTGTTCAAGCTATTCAGCAAAATCCCCAACAAAATCCATAAATCGGCTCCTGCATATATTACAATGCCTTAGTTCCTTAATGTTTTAACTCTGGATTATGTGTAACATTTCCATTTAGGTGAAATTTGGAAAGTAAGCAAGTGAGACTGTGATTATACTGCTGTCAAACTCTACATACAATCCTTGACACCTAACACAGGAGGAACAGATCTTCCGAGCTATCCTTCGGCTCTTTCAGAACAAGTACTTTTTTTCTAAATCCAGGAAAACAATCCAGCCTTCCCTATGAGGAAACTGCTTAGCCTTATTTAACCATTTGGCAGGCATGGTAAACAGCGCAATGACAAATTTGTAAATATTGAAGACAAAGAAATTCCAACAAAAAAAACAAACAAAGCAAGATGAGTAATTCAGTGCTGGAAAACAAGAACACTGTACACCAATCAGCAACAAGAACTACTCATTCCTAAAT